CTTTTCCCCCTCACCTGGGCTTGAAAGTAGCCCCCCCCAACCTCACTCTGGCCTTTTTTCTCTCCCTCCCTTGCCCCTGTTCTCAGGTGCCTCATTGCATTCTTGGGTGTCTTCTTAATCACCCGTAACAGGAAGAAGGCCATTCCATTTGAGCCCTATATTTCCATGGATGCCATGCCAGGTAACGTTAAAACCCCATGTGTCCAGCTGCCAGCCCATCCATATAGAATGGCTGCTACTTCCTGTTTAAAAAGAGACGGCTCTCTGCTGGGTTTGGTACAGGGAAGGTGTGCTGTGCCGTTATGGTGTGACTGTCTCTCTCTCTCTCTCTCTCTCTCTCTCTTTTTTTTTTAAATCTCACTGTGCCAGATAGGAGGCAATGGTTGAGGCACCTCAGTTGGTTTTGAGCCCATCTCGCCAGTTACCGTGTGTATTTTGGGATCTCTTAAAGACAATCCTGATTCACACTGGATAGAATTATGATCTGTCCATCAGGCTTTGTACCTGTGAAAGGAAAACTCCACTCATCCAGTTGGAATAGAACGACCAGAGAGGGGAAAGAATATAGGATGAATGAAATTCAAATACTATAACCTCACTCCTTAGATTCCACGAGGGAGTGGATTGTTCTGGAAAGCCTAGTTTCCCAGGGAGCTGGGGGTTCACCCTGAGCAGCACAGGCTCAGATGTGTTTCGTCCTTGACAGTCACAAATGCGTGAATCAGCAGAGCACTGCACAGAAGGGAGCCGTGAGGGCTGTGGAGAACTGGGGCGTGCCCGCCCAGCCTCTCCAGGGACCCAGATGAGAAAAGTTAAGACACTGGGCCAGCCCCATCCAGGTTTGCCCACCTAAGTTCTGTGGGTTGCCGGTGACCACCTGCTTTCACTTTTTAGCTCAAAATTAATTTTTATTTTAGATATAACGGCGGAACTCTCTCCAGATCATAATCCCCACCCTGCGTTAAGACAGCCTAATGAAGGGGCACCTGAGTGGCTCAGTCGGTTAAGCGTCTGACTCTTGATCTTGGCTCAGGTCGTGATCTCACGGTTCATAGGATCAAGCCCCAAGTTGGGTTCTGTGCTGACAGCTCAGAGCCTGTGTGAGACTCTCTCTCTCCCCTGGCTCACACGCTCTCTCTCTTTATCTCTCAAAATAAATAAGCATTAAAAAAAAAAAAAACTTCTTAAAAAGACAGCCTCATGAACAAATTATAACCACACTGAAGGCATCCGGTAGTCCTTAATAAAGGACGCTGGGATATAGCTGTGTTCTCAGGGCTGACTGAGGTGCCCCTGCTTTAAATGGCCCTATGGTTTGTGTGTCTTTTATATTATTTCCTCATCTTGCTCTCAAGCTGTCGTCTGTCATCCGTGCTGTTACCAGCCTGCCTGTGTACAGCAACTCCAGGTCCAACTTCTCATTTGACCCAACGTGCTCGAATTGTATATAAAATTAAGATAAACAAGCTCTGAGTTGGGGCCTTACGGTTTCTCCTAGGAGTTAAGTGCATGAGCTTTAGTGCATGGACTTCAAGAACATCTAATCTGGCTGCTCAGATGCCTTTTTTGCTTACTTCCTTGTTTCTCGGCTGTGTCCCGGATAGATGAGGGCGCTGGATAGCTGAATTCCAGATAGGTGAGGTGTCAACTCTGTGTGTGTGCAAGTATGTGTATGTATATGTGTGTTTGTGTGTTCACAAACTGTGTATGTGTATATATCTATATGAGTACTTGTATATGCATATATACAGATGTATTTTCCAGTGGAAAATAGAAGGTAACCTAAGGTAATCTTAGATATCAACATTCTGTGGTCTGTTTGTGGATGTGGCTCTGGGCTTCCTCTTTGTACCTTGTGACGGGTGGGAAGTCAGAGGTTGATGAAAGGAGACCCTGCCCTGTTGCCGTGGCGCGTCAGACACTTCCGAGTGGACGTGTCCCGTGCCACGTGGGCTTGGAGTTCTGGTGCCCTGGATTCCGATCCCAGCTCTATGTCCACCCGCTCTGTGACCTTGGGCATGTCCTTGGACAGGCCAAGGCCTCTGACCTTGTAAATTGGGATTCCTTCTCTCAGGGTAGTGGGATAATATGTGAAAGGCTCCCTTGCACAGTGTCTGCGACTTGGTAGATGCCTGGTTCAGTTTGGTTTCACTTCCCTTTTGCTTTAAAAAAAAATCTTTGAAAATTTCAAACACGTGTTCAACCTGATGCCAGGTAGAACACAAAAAATAAAAAAATAAAAAAAAAAAGGAGGGGGACGCTGGCTGGCTCAGTTGGTGGAGCACAGCATTCTTGATCTCGGGGTCATGAGTTCAAGCCCCACATGGGGTGTAAGAATTACTTAAATTTTAAAAACTTTAAAAATAAATTAGTTAATTCATTAAATTAAAAAATAATAATAAAACTGTTTAAACCCAGTGCCTTTCCTACTACCTGTATTCCCTGGTCAGCATTAGAGCCTTGCATTTGGCCTACCTAGATTGACCTTCACAACCGACCAGTAGCTACGGTTCAAGAGGCATTCAGTTTCTAAAAAAAAGGAAAAAGCAGGGGCACCTGGGTGGCTCCGTTGGTTAAGCACCCGACTTCAGCTTAGGTCATGATCTCACAGTTCGTGGGTTCCCCACATCGGGCTCCGTGCTGACAGCCTGGAGCCTGCCTCAGATTCTGTGTCTCCCTCTCTCTCTCTCTCCCCTTCCCTCTGTCTCTCAAAAATGAAAAAACCTTAAAAGAAAAAAAAAATTTGTTTTTTAAAGGAAAAAGCAGTCTCACAGTCCCCCCACGGTGCACATCGCCCTCATTTTCCATAAATCAGTTAACCCATAATTGTTAGACTGTGGGTGTGGTCCTGCTGCTTAAGAACTTTGAAAACATCCAACAGCTAAGCCGTGCCCGGTAAGCGCACCCTTTTCCCGAAGGAACAGGCACCCCCCTCAGCTTTTGTAACTTCACCCCTTGGAATCTGTGTCCTCGTCCGGATAATGGGGCTCGGATTGGGGGGCGGGGCGGGGGGTATTAAGTGGAAGTGTGCAGGGCGGCCACACGGCATTCCTGTTAAGAGTGTGGGCTTCAGCGCTCAGACCACCCGAGTTTAAACTCTAACGCTGCCACTTGCCGGCTTTGGGACCTCAAGCAAGTTCTATAACCTCTAACCGCCTCGTTCTCCTCATCAGTAGTTGTGAGGATCAGATGAGATCAAGCTTTTTTTCTGCCAGGAGCTCAATACTCAGTACCCGTTAGCTGTCCTCATGCCCCCTGTGGTTACCATTGTGATGTAGAGCGCTTAGCCCAGAGCCTGGGCGCAGTCGGGAGTCTGGGACCTGCTGTTATTGCCTTCATAGTTTCCTGGAGGACACTTTGAGTTCAGTTTCCTCCGACAGCCTAGCGGCAAGAGAATTTGAAGTCTCAAGTCCCAGGCCAGGAAGAGAGTTGCCCTCCAAGGTCAGGTCCCGCCTGATGGGGAAAGTGTAGAACAAGGCTAACGGAATTCAGGAGTAAAGTCCCTGTTCTCAACTGTAAGAAGAAATCCAACATCAGTATGTGCCCAGGAGCGGTAGGCAGAATGGCACCTGCCCTCTATGCGGATCAGGGATGTTAAATGTTAAAGGTCAAAACTCGCCTTCTGAGTGTCCCTGATGCATCTGGCACCGCCGCGTGTCCATGACACGAAAGTTACCCTCCCTCTTCTCCCAGGGGGATAATGAAATGTGCTGGATCCTGATTTAATTCCGCAGGAAAGTATTGGCATCTACCACGCTCGAAGCACGGTGCTGGTTCTGCTCCCCCTGGGGCCCAAACACGCGTTCCCACCTCGTGCTAGGCCAACCCATGGTCTCTCTTGACAATGGCTGGTCTGTGTGCATTATTTCCTGAAGATTCGTCCCCGGTTGCTTAGCAACCGTAATATTTCTAGCACATATTTCTGGATGTTCTTTTTTCGATCGAAAGCATTCAGGAAATTGGCAATGCACGTGATCAGCGCCCCAGCACTATAATTAGCCTGCGATGGGGTGGAGGAAGACGCAGTCTCCTGTGCCCCACCCCCACCCCTTATCACGTAATGATGTGGAGAAAATGGATTTCATTTCAGGTATGCAAAACATGCATGACAAGGGAATGACGGTTCAGCCCGACCTCAAAGCTTCTTTTTCCTATGGGGCCCTGGAAAACAACGACAACATTTCTGAGATCTGCGCTCCTGCCACGCTTCCGGTCATGCAAGAAGAACACAGCTCCGGGGCTGCCCCCGGGGTTCCCTACCGAGTCCTGGAACACACCAAGAAGGAATGAGCCCACCTTGCTCCCTTTATAACTGCTCAAGCCCTGCCGATAGTGATTCAACCCTGAATTCTGAAGTTTGCCTTTCGAGTCTTTTTTTTTTTTTTTTTTTTTTTTAACCGAGAACTCTCCAGAAGGGGATCTGGAAGAGCCTTTGTCTCTGGCAAAGAATATATTATCTTGGCTTGGAGATTCCGGATGACCAGGGTGGTGGTGGGGTGGGGGGGGATGAAAGCAGTATTCCGGGGTGGGTGGGGCGAGTGCGGGATTCAGACCCCGCCCCGTTCCGCCCCCACCCCCGGTCCCCCAGGTTGGGAGAGCCCCCATCATCCCCGAGGATGGTAACTGAACATCCCCCTTCGGTGACCGCAAGCTGCCACATTCCTCGCAGCTGAAACAAGACAGATCCCGCCCTCTCCTTTCCACATCGAGGGAGAGGCTGGGGACCCCTGAATCCAGTCTTCCCCTTGACTGATCCTCCCCATCTCGCTCGCGATTCCATATTTTCACGTAACGTTTGCGTTGTCTTCACATGGCATAGCGGGCCAGCCCCGGGACCCTTCTGTCATTCACCTGCAGAAAACGCACGTGTGCCCCTTCCGGTTGTCTGTGCCTTTCTAGCGAAAACGTGCTTGATGTGTTCGTATTCCACCCGCGCTTGAAAGCTAATTTGTTTTTGGTTCCGTGAACTGTATGATGGCCTTTTTTTTTTTTAACCCCCCCAAAAGGAACGGAGAAGTTAAGAGAAGGAGGGAAATAACGTTCAGGAGCATCGGTAATGATACGTTAGCCTGAAAAGGAAGAAACATCCCTTCCCATCTTACAAAATGTGGTCGCATCACTTACAAAAGGATAGACAGAAAATCTGGCTCTTTTATTATGGGTATTTTCCTGCACACCAATGCCCTCTGGGAGGCCTGGGGGCTCTTATTTCAGAGACAGCCTCCATCATTCCCCCTCCATCCTCTCCTTTATAGATCAACAAACCAGACTTGAATTATTAGTTAATTAACTTGGAGCTGATAGAGACGCTGGGTCCTCCTTTCATACGGTCCCACATATGGACCCACATATGGAAAAGCGGGCATTCTCGGTAAGGGTTGCTGCTTTCTTTCAGGCTACTCACGTGATTGTCTTCCCCTAGACTGACTATACTTTTGAGAACGGCAAGAGTTTGCAAATCTTAGCATAAGGATCCCCTAAGGAGTTTATTTAAAATGCAGATTCCTGCACCCCAAGCGCGGATATTCTAAGTGGGAATGGCCCAGAAGTCTGCGTTAAGTCTGCGTTCTTAATTGGCAGTACAGGTCATTCTGATGCATGTAATCCAAGAATCCCACACCTCAAAAGCCTAATAATTGCGAGAGACGGTCTGCTACAACCCCCGGGGGGCCGACACACTCCAGCCTGGAAAGTCGGAATTAGCATTCCTTGTTTCCCGTCTAGGGTTCACTTGGCAGGTCAAATAATTCCCATAGGATCTGTGGCATTCATCCATTCAGTGATAACTACTTAGAACTACACTTGACGTTTCCCTAGGCAGTCTTTAACTAATAGGCAAGATAACAGTGTTAATAGACCAGTGTTGATAGATCATTAACCTTTATGGATTGTGCTTAATACCGATTTAGTACCTTGACTTCAAAACCCGGCATCTGTCGCCTGCGATAACCACTTCTGTATTGTGTCTTAACCACTTCTGTATTGCGTCTTCCATGCCTAACAAGGCAGCAGACGGTGACCTTTTTTCTTTAGGATAGGTGTCCACTCAGTTCAACAATATTTGTGAGGCATTACCTGTGTGTTAATAAGCATTTGGACGGTGAAGGCTACAAAGCATGACCATGGTTCCTGCCTCCCCAGACCAGCAGAGGAAGACACATACCCAGGAAACTGTGGCAGGGCAGGCCTGGAGAGGTGCACCTTGCAACAGTGGGCCACGGAAAAGGACAGTTTGAGGGAGGGGGCGCTGCCAAAGGTCAGACCCCAAGCCTGGAACAGGGTACTCAGAATTGAAGGTGATTTGGGGGTGCCGGGTTGGCTCAGTAGAGCACGCAACTCTTGATCTCAGGGTTGTGAGTTCGAGCCTCATGTGTGCTGTAGAGTGTACTTAGAATAAAAATTAAAATTTCTGAAACTATTCAGTTTCAATTCATTTTATTTATTTTTTTAAGTTTATATTTGACAGAGAGAGAGAGAGAGAGACAGAGCATGAGTGGGGGAG